ATCGGGAAGATTTTCATACGATGGGGGCGATTTTGATGGCTCGTTTCTCAATATTGGCAATGTGATGCGACCAATTGGGCTGTTTCAACCAATATATGCAGAACCATAAATTCGACAAGGTTGAGTGGGATCAATAGTAATAATAATAATATTAATAATAATAGTGATAATCGACTTCATTCATCAATATAAAAATAATTCAAAATATAATACAATGGAAAGAAAGTTATGTTTATGGTGAATATTCCGAGGAATAGGCGAAGTATTCACTGGAGCTGTTTCTCATCTTCATCTTTGTGAGCGAGGAAGACAAAGAAATACCTATGGATACTACTGAATATTATACTATAGTGAGCATGAGGATAATAATAATGATATAAAATGTTGTCCACACGTCGGGGTAATTTCCTCCCCTATTTTGGTCATTCCCAGTTGACTCTCTGCTGAAAAATCTTTCCAGGCAGGGGTGGATTTCCAATGCTATCCAGATGATCTAGTTCCAATAGTGACAGGGAAATTTGAAGCGACGATCTCAAACGGCCTACAAGAAGCCCTAGATACTGTGTGCAGATGGTGCGTGGTGTGAACCCCAGGAGAACAGAAATTACCCCTTTCACCAAAAGGCAAAATCTAAATGGAATTCGTCAGCCTGTCCTATATGGAGAGAGCATTCCCTTTGCGGCGGAGTTGAAATACCTAGAGGTCACCCTAGATAAAGGAATCACCTCGAGCGCAATATGCCAAAAAACTATTAACAAAGCCAGATTCTCCTTCTGAAACATCAGGAGGGTTATGCGGCAAAACGTGGGAAATGAACTCCGAACAGATTTACTGGATTCACCAAACAATGGTTAAACTAATGGTCACGTATGTCTCGGTAGTCTGGTGGACTGAAAGTCTGCAAGGGACATTCATGATCTTTGTCCAGGGTGAGGCCTGACTATCACAAAGGCGATGTCCTCTACTTCAACAACAGCGATAGAAAACCTCCTGAACCTCACTTTCCTCCACATTGTCTTGAAGAGGAAAGCAAGGATGGTTTCCTATAGATTCTTGTCACACATAAATTGAATTGGAGGAAATAAAAAAATCACCTCTAGGAATGGTTCCCGACATGTTGGCTACTCAGACAAAAGTCTTTCAAAGTATTCTTCATGAAGAGAGACGAGTGGTCAAGTAGATCAGACCAATTCTCAGAGGTCGAATACATAATGTAGACAGATGGTTCAAAAACCCCTCTTGGAGTTGGAGCCGGTGTGTTCAGCAGAAAACCGAAGACGGAAATCTGTCACTCTCGGTAAGTATGCTACAATCTTTTTTGCAGAGATTTTCACAATTTGATTGTGTGCTAGAGAGTTGACGAACAGACCTTCAGTTAACAAAAACATCAGTATTTCATCAGACGGTCATTCTGCTCTCAAAGCACTGCGCTTCATCAAGATACATTCCACGCTTGTGTGGAGCTGTATTGAGCCCCTTGTATGCCTGGTTACGAACAACAAAGTTATTTTGTTGTGGGTACCTGGACACCAGGGGTGGAGGGCAAAGAGAAAGCCGACATCTTCGCCAAACAGGTAACCAAATCTATGTTCATATGACCAGAACCATACTTGGGGATCACCGCAAGTGCGGCCGAAACAACTATCCCGGACTGGGCAGAGGGTAAAGGACTCACGTACTGGTCTGCACAACAAGGATTGAGTAATTCCAAGGCATTTCTGTCTGAGCTATCGAAAAATATAACCAGGCAGATTCTAGATTGAAGCAGGGGTAACCTGCGAATTCTGACAAGAATGTTCACGGCACACAGTCGTCTAGGATATAACATATATATAATGTTTTTAATGTATATTGACTGAATCAGTTGTTTTATCCTTATTCAACTATGCGGATAGCCTGTATGGCCCTTAATTGACTCATATATTGGTATAAAAACAGAATTCAAAAAGTGCAAAACTCTTGTTGATTTATATGGGATCAGGAAGCCTGAAAGTATTTCACAGAAGCTATTAAAGGCAGGCTGCTTGAATATGGAAAATAGAAGACTTCTTTACGATGCTTGTTTATTCCATAAAATTATCATAACTAAAATGCCATCTTATCTGAATCTAAATTCTAAAGGTTACTCACAGAACGGATGTCCACAACTTGAATATCAGATTCAAGGGTGCTCTCACACCACCTATCTTCAGAACACAAACATTTACACGTTCATTCAGCTGTCAAATCACCAAAATAATAAAAAAATTAGATCAATATATTCAGAGTGAAACTGAAGAAATACTTATTTGATAATCAATGAGAAAATGTAACTGATTTTATTTTATCTCCCAATTTTCTTTTTATTATAGTACCCTATTAATCGACATAGATACACTTTATATATTTTCTTCCTTGCTTCTTATATTTTTCCGATCGATTATTTTGTTTGTATTCTTCACAATACTACGTGAATTTTGAGAAAATGTGAAATGGTAGCAGCTACATACTCACCTCAAGTTTGAATTAGGAAACCAACAAGGTACAAATGTAGGGTATACAGTTCAGGAATGTTCCAAAAGGAAAGAATTTTTCAAACTCAAAATGGGGGTTATACGTATTATTACAAGATTAGTAACATTGGTAGCATAAATAGGTTGGTAAGCGCACATGCGCATACCGAGAGTACGGGAGCACTCTTCTGCTGTAGCCTGGGCCGTGAAAAGTTGTGTCGCGTTTTGAATGTTAAATATGATATGTTATTCATCTATTTGTGCTGTACTGTATATGTTCGAAGATTATTATAATAAATGTGAAGTACTGAGTGAAATCGTGTTTATTGAAACGTTACAATAAATAAATTTCAATCCTGCATTATTTTGAGAATTCCAATATTTCACATTTTTGATCCACTTTCCTGCACACTCTGTAAATTAGGTTTTCAGTGATTGTGATCATTGTAAGTGATCTGTTCAATCTTGAATATTGACGATTTAATCACTGCATATTACTAAGGATTGTGATTCGTATGAAAATGGCGTATCGACTTCATTTGACTCTTTTTTCTTAAAAAAACTTGTATAACTTAGAACGCTTCATTTTAGGTTTAGAGTATGATGAGTACGTGAATTTGAATAAAAATCATGAGAGGAACGCAAAAATTTTGAAAAACTTAGGGTGTTATATTGAAAATAACAAAGAGACGACGTCTCTTCCGGGAAAACCGGGAGCTTCACAATAACGGAAATATCTATGTTGGATTCTGCATGTTTCTTTCAAGAATTTTCATGTCCAGAACTGCGTTGATTTTAGATTCCAATCATTGTATGTATGTGAATTTGCTCCATATGACATGAACGTATTTATTTTGATGTGAAAAGAGATTGATTTTCTGAAACATTTGAGTGATCTACTAACAGAGATTCGAGACCTATTAGTTCTCTCTTTGAATACATTCATCAATCTACATTTGATTCCACTAGAGACATCAAAACTTAATGTGTATGTAACATTTTTAGAAAGTACATCATTCTCTCTGGAACGTTATAATACAAGTATATAATGATCGAAAATAACCACACATTTAGAAATGGTCGATGGTGTTTCAAACCTCACATTCTGATTATAATGTATATAACCTCTTTTTTTTTCATATTTATAATATATTTGAGAATATTGCATTTCAAAAGAAGTTAATTCTTCGCAAAATGAAACAAATACATGAAATATGCGTTTTCTTCAACCTTTAAATGCATTTCTACTCGTTTCCTCAGATTCTGAATAGAAAGTTACTCCTGAAACAATATCCCTTCTTGTCTTATGGTAAGGCAAAGTTACGAAAGTCATACCTCGACCATCCTCGATTAACACAATTACTTTGACAAATTCGAAAAATCATCGATATACAAGGTGTTTTTGAAATAAGTGCACGTCAATGCCGTCAACACATCACGTCATACGTCGATGTCAATACTAGTAGAAATCGTTACTCAGTAGATAGATCTTAGTTCTACACTTGAATCTCCAATGTCAGAATCGTAGTCCATGGTCAGATTTCTTGTTTTTGCTTGAGATTGCAAAAAATGGCTTTATTATATAGATTATTCGGAAATTGGCTAAACAATTTTTCGTCTGTGGCGCACTTTAATATTTAGCAATAATTTATCCTTTTTCCGACAATCATCTAGTCGTTTTTGAAAGAGGCTGTTGGCAATAACATTTCCCTGCCATATTCAGTTTATACCCAGACAGCACCATCAGATATTCCATGAATCTCCCTATCATATTCCTTTCGGAATATTGGAATATTCTAGAAATAATCTGGAATATTCCGAAATATCTGTGGAATATTCTCTAAATATGCGAATGGGAATTCCTCAGATAATCATAGAATATACCCAAAAGAATATTCTATGTTGAATGTTCCTGAAATATTCCAATGAACATATTCTAAAATAAAAAAAGTGACATCTAATTGATGTTCAATACTCACATCTCTGAAATAATAAATGGTATTTATGTGTTGAGAAACATAGGAATATTCATGGTATATTTCATGAATATACACCACAGAATATTCAGTTGAGAATATTTCATGAATATACCGCACAGAATATTCAGTTGGGTATATTTCATGAATATACCCCACCGAATATTCAGTTGGGTATATTTCATGAATATACAACAGAAAATATTCAGTTGGGAATATTCCTGGAAGATTCATACCTGAATATTCCCTGAACATGTCCGACTATTCACTTCGGAATATTCCTTTTAGATGTTCCAGAGGCATGTATATATTCTAGGAATAATCGATGAATATTCGGAATATACCTACTCCTCCTTTTTAGCATATTTAGAGAATATTCTATGAATATCCAGTGCTGTCTGGGTAGGTCAGTGGTGGAAGCCAGACCGCCTCCCTAGCTGGTTGCTGGAGTTGCATCTTTTAATTCGTGCCAGAAAAAATATGAAATGATGAGAAAATGGAATGGATATAATCATTTATTCTTCGAAAAATCCTAGAACAGGTTGGAAATCTTTCATTCTGGTCATTAGACAATTTTTAGATGTCAGCAATAGATATAAAATTATAGCGGAGGATTCGATTTCACTTCTTCGAATACTGATCTTGAAATAATGAGTCTCTGAATTTGCGATGTCCCTTCGAATATCTGGAAAATCTTAGCATCTCTCATCAACTTCTCTACAGGGTATTCTTTGTTATATCTGGAAAAAAAAGTACAATTGGAATCATTCTGTAAGTACTATTCATGCTATTAAGGAAGTTGAAAAAAACTCCTCTGTGAATATTTGAATGGATAGGTAGTTACAAACGAGCGGAAATAAGTATATTATTATGTGCAATTAAATGCCCCATAGCTATTTCTTAAAAATGATACAAAAAATGGCAGGTACCAACTACCTAACTGAACTGGTTACTTACTTCAGGAAAAAAACATGTTTAACTATATTCATTAATTTTTTCGTCATATTAGCTACTTATTCCTATTAGAGTTCTTGAACTTTGAGGTCATGATATCAGACATATCAAAAAGATAATGAGATAGGAAAAAGTATCATCTCACTATACTTTTTGAATTCTCAAATGGGGAAAACAATCCGAGAAGTTGAAGAGGCGAGCAATAATAATCAATTGATTTATCATTTAAGGACTATCTGAACCGTACTCAGGATCTGAACTAGGGAGGGGAGGCAGCTCATAATTATTTCGAGGAAATGAGGAAGTGAAACTGAATACTAGAGAGGAACTGAGGATATCAATACCCAGGTAGCAGAGTGACGTCCAATTGACGTAAATTTTTGGTCATAAAATGACGTAGTGGACGTCCAAAAATGACCCTAAAATGACGTCAAAATGTCACAGCCATATCACGTCACATTTAGACGTCATAATGACGTCGCAGAATGACCAATAAAGGACGAGATGAAAAAATTAGGAGGTTTATAGAAAGGAACTGAGGATATCAATATAGACATGTCATGTTACAACTGGGACGGATTTATAAAAAACGAATAAGGCGCCATGAAATTTTAATAATGATAGAGGGTAAGTCATAATTATTGGAACATAGACTAAGGACGGATTGTTTGTACCAAGATATTATGTCGATTGGACCAGATATATGCCAAAATGAAATATTGCTTTGGAGAAAGATACAGGGCGTTTCAATCGAAAAAGTATCGACTATAATCTTGCATCAGAATTTATTCACTGACAAGAAATGCGTAATTCACCAACAACAATTAACTGACAGTTCAAAGCACACTTCATAAATGAAATAATATTCGTAATTTCCTTTCGATACTTTGAACTCTTCGATTGCGTTTTGCTTGAGAACCGATGAACATTTCGAGTTCAAATAAGAGTACTAATATTACGTAGAAATTATGTTCATGTCATATTTTTTAATTAAAATCACGGAAAATTTTTCGAAATGTTTCCAGTGGATCATCCATCATCAGGAATCATTCACGTGTTACGCCCCTTGTAACGAACTGTAGAATAATTCATGATAAACTACTTACCAGATGGAGTGGGACAGCCAGAAAATCAACTTATTTTGATAAGCTATAATTCGAACATTTCTTGGCCGATGTAATTTTCAACCAAAGGTAGAACGCGTCATCCTTGGTTTATGCGTCTTTGGCTTCGGGATTTTATTTTTGCGATTCGTTCTCTTTGTACAGAGTGTAAATTAAGAGCCGGAAAAACTTTAAATATTTGACCAATAATTTGAAATTCCGTTCCTATTTTAAACTGTGGCCTCTTTTAGTTAAACAATAACAGCCGACATCTAAACTGCAACATGAGATATTTAAAAAAAAGGGGTTTATAATATTTACAAACAAAAATTCGTTTTTATTGAAATAATTTAACTGTTTTATTGATCTTCAAAGTTGAAAAGGTGTCATACCTTCAATTGGCATGATTTTGTCAAATCCAGAGGCAAGCAAAATTGGAGTTTATGATATTAAGAAATAACAAAAACATTTAAATTGAAAAAAATCAACAGTTTTATTGATCGTTACAGTCAAAAAGTTGCCATACATTCAATTAGCATGATGTTTTCGAATTTAGAGGCGTGCAAAAGGGGATTCTGTAATGTAGACAGACCAAAATTCTAGTTTCATAATTCATATATTCTATTCTTATTTATTTACAAGGTGCATAAATGTAATTAATTTATTTTCAATGAATCCATCGGCATACAAACAGAATTCTAGGATCTCTCACATTCCCCAAACTATTTGTCAAAAATTTGAAATTTTTCTGGATCTCGATTCACACTCTGTACAAAGAGAACGAATCGCAAAAATAATAACCGACGCCAATGACGCATAGCCCAAGGATGACGCTTCCCATACCTTCGGTTGGAATTCCAACATCGGCCAAGAAATGTTCGAGTTATAGCTTATCAAAATTGTTTGGCTGTCCCATTTCATCTAGTAAGTAGTTTATAACATTCCTTGTATTAAATTATGCCTCTATGCCAATTTTGATTTGATGAATATGCAGTGAAATTATCAGCAAAAAAACAAAAAAAAAATCACTCCAGAGCCCTTTCTTTTTCCACAGTGATATTTTATTAAGGCATATTTGGTCCTATCGTCATATTCTGGTCAAAACAGTACGCCCTTAGCCGATGTCTCAATAGTTATGACTCACCCTGTATAGTAATTACTGTTCGGCGGTATGAGTTGTAGGGGAGTATACGTCCTTGCCTGAACGTGTGACCCTCGGCCACAATATTGATCTGATTTTTAGCACCTATAGCAATCTTGATGAACATATTTCTTTCCTATACTCATACCCCTGATTAGCACACAACGTCCTAGGGACGTCCCTATTTGGTACAATTCACGTCCGAATGTCCCAAACCAAAAATAACTGTCCTTGGGACGTCCCATCCCGTACATCTCATGCAATGTCCGAGCAAGGACGACCACGGAATGTCCCAGCTGGTACATCATTTCAAATGTCCTAGAAATAGCATCCCTTAGACGTCCCACGTGGTACATATTGTAGAATGTCCATGCAAGGACGACCTTGGCATGTCCTTGATGGGATATGATTTTGAAAGTTCCTTTAGGGACATCCATCGGATGTCCCGAGTAGTACATATTCTGGCATGACTTCAGATCTTATATAATGTCCCTTCTAGACAACCATGAAATGTCCCTGATAAAAAAATTCCTTCAAATATCTCTACACAGAATCCCTTAATATTTCCAGGATCGTAGAACAATCGAAATGTCCCATAGGAACATCCTTCGAATGTCCCTCAGGGATATCCGTCTGGATGTCCCAATCGGTACATGAACTGTACTCTTTCAATGTCCTAGAAATAACGTCCTATGGACGTCCCAGTCGGTACTTTCAATATGTTGTCCCTGCGAGGATGTTAACTTACACCTCACCGACGCCGAGTACTGCTCGTCAATGTCCTTCACGTAAGTCCATTGGACATCCTTGGGACACTTTTTGGGGACCTTCTACGGACCATCGAATCAACTGGATGTCCTAATCAGTTATGCAAGATCTGGTCCTAAAGGGACCCAGAAAAACTGAAATTCAAAAATAATTCGTACGTCCCTGGGACTTACTATGGACATCCAATTGATATCCCTCAGCGTTGCTGATAGGTGGTCCTATGGATGTCCTAAGGATGTCCTCTGTAGTGCTTGATGAGGAATACTGTAGGATTTAGGTATTCGATAGTTGTCCCAGGGACCTCCCTCAAGGACGTCCCTAGTTGGTCCTCAAGTGGGACATTTGTGCGTCCCAGAGACGTCCAATGGACGTCCACGGTACCAAATTCGAACGTCCTATGGACGTCTTGAATGTCCCGACAGGACGCCCTAAGGATATCCATGGAACTTTAGTGTGTGTTTTACGGACATACATACCCATTTCCTCCAAAAATTTGAACAGCCTCTGTTGCACATTTGTTCGCTATATCTGATCCATGTGCTTTGGCAATGGCAGCCATGTAGGAATTCTTCTTGCCCTGATCGATCTGCCAAGCAGACTTCATCCATGCCAACCTCGCAGTTTCTATCCCTATGGCCATGTCTGCTAGCAGAAATGCTACTGCTTGATGCTGAGCTATGGAAACACCGAACGTTTTTCTTTCTAGAGAATACTTGGTCGCCTCATCAAGGCAACGCTGAGCTAATCCGACGGCGCCGGATCCAACCTGTCGTGTATGAAAATATGGATTTATACCGGATATGAGCTTCTACATTCCACCTCTTGAATTCAATCAATGACATTCTGTATAACATAATTTTCGTTAGAAACATTTCTCAGCACATCTTATTTTGACATCTTAAAAACCTACCTCCAATCTTTGTCTCCTGAATACGATAATGACATTTTGCTAAGAACTATTTTTTTCGATATTGTATATATTAATAACTGTTTTATGTTTCTGGTCGTAGGAGACGCTGTGGAGGAGAATTGTGAGCTCGAATTAGTAGGAGAGTCTACTGCAAATTTTGTCCGTCATCCGATAACGTAATTGCACAAGCATGTCCCGTAGAAGCATACAACTACATTGTATTTCATCAAACAACATCTGTGCTAATAACTATTCAGAAGAAAATAATTGGAAATTGACATTTTATTATAAATTAGATATTAATAATGCCACTCGATATCCCTAACAACACAGGTACATCCTAGGGACTTTCCAGGGACGTTCTTATTTCAAACTGGAACATTCAATAGATATTCTTTTTGGGACAAAGTTCATACTAGGGACGTCCCAGGGACATCCCCTTTCAGACAAAAAGTACATCCAAGGGATGTCCCTTCTAGTACGTCCCTGGGATGTACTGAGTACGAAGAATGGATATCCCTAGGACGTCCCAAGGAAATCCCAGGGCCATCCCTTCGACAAAAAAAAGATGTAGGTCGAGTAGGGATCAAACTCAAAACTTTCAGCTTATCAGGCACGCACCTTACTCCATTGGCTAATATGCCTTCTGAACATTCATGTATTGAACAGATTTAAAAACAGGACTGAACTGGAACATTCCAGGAATATTCTTCTTGGGACAAAGTACATACTAGGAACGTCCCAGGGACATCCCCTTTCAGACAAAAAGTACATCCAAGGGATGTCCCTTCTAGTACGTCCCTGGGATGTACCGAGTACGAAGAAAGGATATCCCTAGGACGTCTCAAGGATAATCCAGGGACCTGAATGAATAAAACTTTGTTGGGATTAGGGTATAATCATTATCTTTCTTGGGTTATTAAAAATGGAGGGCATTATGCATTCACGATTTCTGTTTGCGAAAAATGGTCATTTCTTGAGAAGTTTTGAGACTATATTCTTCATTTTCATTACAATATTTCAATGACTCTCTGATGTGAATAAATATCAGATATAGGACACGAATCGGGATAACCTGTGGCTGTACCGGGCGGGATGTTCACTGGACAACCACTGCGGGACATCCCCTGGATGTCCCAATCATGTCCTTGAATCCTAGAAACCGAAACACTATCTGTATCACCCTTCAATATGAGTCAGATACTCGACAAAGCGTTTTTGCACCCGTTATTCCGGACATACTTCCGTCACATGATAACTAGTTGATAATAAATACTGAATGCGAGTAAATGGGGATAATGTCGTCCGCGAATATACAAAGGTGTTGCGACTCAAATTGATCTGAACAAGTGACATAGCATTGATTCTTTCAAGAATATTTCGCTCTTGGTGAAAGGGTGAAAGATAATATTCTATGAACCATCAGCTCATCAGAGATGTTCTGGTTCATCGGATAACATCTTTCGACAGGGGCGAGTATTCTCGTGAATTTTGACACTCTACCACGAGCTTGAATCAGTTTGAATCGTTGCACGTTTGAATTTTCGCAAAGGAGAAATTACCCTATTGTATATTCGCATTTTATTTCAACTGATTATCACATGACGGAAGTATGTCCAGAATGACGGCACCAAACAAATTGTTGTGCCAAGTATTCGACTCAGATTAAAGATGCTGCACAGGTAGGTATTTGAGATCTACCATTCAAATGATATGGGGTAATATATAATAATTCTTATCTTGTTATCAAATCATGGAATTCTGCTCAAATTACCACACATGAAAATACTATCTTCAACCATTTCCCTAACGATAGTGATTGGCACATCAGGTGCCGTATGATAAAAAACAATGTTTCTATATATTTTTTGAGACACATTTATTGATGTTATTCCGTTGTCAAATGACTGTCGAGATTTGCAGCCGCTTCTTGGAATATATCGAAACATCCACTGTAGTACTTGATATTGAAAACAATTTCATTCATATACAGGGTGGCCCACGGTCGATAATACCGTATACGGAAAACGGTACATTGGATTATCCTGAAAATTTGGTTACTCCAATAAGCGTTTGTGATCTAACGATTCAAAATATTTTCAGCGATGCAGCGTTGCCACTTTTACCAAAAAGTAGCTTCATCTTTGTTATTTCAAATAAAATACCCTATATTTCATTGCGATTTTAGATTCTTCCCGAAGAGATGATTTCATCAATGAATTACACTTGGGGTCTAGCAGGAATTATTACAGAGATATAGGGTGTTCAAAATCGAGATTTTTCAATATCAGGAATTTTTTGTGTTGAAACTATTCATTATCGATCAAAACGGCTCACATGTCCCTATCTTGACTTTTGATTCACTATCTACTGACATTTGATTGGAACAGATACAGGGTGATCAAAATTCTGAATCTTGGACCATCCTGTATTTTTTCCAATTAAATGTCGGTAGATAGTTAATCAAAAGTTGATATAGGGACATGTAAGCCGTTTTGACCAATGATGAAAAGATTCGACACAAAAAAATCCTAAAGTTAAAAAATCTCGATTTTGAACACCCGATATCTCTGTAATAATTCCTGCTACACCACAAGTGTGATGTATTGATGAAATCAGCTCTTCGAGAAGAATCTAAAAACGCAATAAAATACAGGGTGTTCTATTTGAAATAACAAAGATGATAATACTTTTTGGTGAAAGTGACAATGCTGCTTCGCTGAAAATATTTTGAATCGTTAGATCACAAACGCTTATTGGAGTAGGTAACCAAATTTTCAGGATAATCCAATGTACCGTTTTCCGTATATGTCTAAGGAACCATCGACGAAGGATTGTGATTTTGTCATTATGACAGCGAAAAAATTAGAGAGTAACTTTTACAGCGAAAATTCGATCGATCGACCAGTCAAACTATGCGCTGGTTGGCACACAATGCAATTATTTATGTGGGAAATCGTTTTTGTACGCAAACTCCTGTTTGCATCAGAAGTACGAGTCATATTTTCAAAGAAAATCACAAACAGATACTAATTAATTGTTCTAGTAATATCATCCTATTGATTTTGTACAGGGTATGTCACAACGAGCTCACACTATCTTTATATCGAGAATCAGTCATGAGAAATCTATGGAAATGTGCGCTTGCCTATATTTCAAAATTCGCTCGCTTCATTAGAAATATTTTTGACACAGCAGTGTTGTCTCTTCTACTAGAAAGTAATAGCAACATTGATATTTCAAATTGAACACCCTGTATTCTATCATCGCATACTCAAATTTTCTCTGGAGAGTTGATTTCATTGATATATCACACTTGGGATCTATCGAGAATAAAAACAGAAATAGGGTGTTCAAAATCGAGATTTTTCAACTTTAGGACTTTTTTGTGTCGAAAAAATGAAACAATTCGTTATCGATCAAAACGACTCACATATCCCTACGTCAACTTTTGATGAACTATTTACTGTAATTCAATCGGAATAGATACAGGGTGGTTCGAGATTCAGAATTCTGATCACCCTGTATCTGTTCCAATGGGCTTATATCACAAAAAAAATTTATTTCATAATTCGATAGAACTCACCCAAACTAGCTCACCACCGCAAACCGTTTCTTGCTGTGAGCTCCCTTCGTTTTATAAAAAATTATTGAATTCCCCGATTTTCCGGACCTCTGAAAACGAGGCGATAATGTGACGTCAAAACCCTGATACTGATACAAGACTATTCCAGATAGAGATGAATGATACATGATTTCTGACAGAGTGAATTAGCGCGAGATCACAGTTGAAGAATTAATATATCAGTTGCCTCAGTCTCCGTCGGGCTTGGTATTTTCTTTGAACTATGGCGAGATGAGGTTCCTACGTCATAAGGGCAGGGTCCGTTTTTAGAAGGTACTATTATTTATGTCCAAAAATAAAACATTCCAGTTAATTTTTCTATATCGAATTATGTCGACAATCATTATTTATGTATAAAAGGATCATTATAAATATGGTTTGAGTTAATAGTTCTACTAAGGTGTACACGCCCATTGAATATCAGTAAATAGTGAATCAACAGCTGAGATAGGGACTTGTGAGCCGTTTTGGCCGATAATGAATAGTTTCGACACAAACAAATCTTACATATAAAAAATCTCGATGTTGAACACCATATGTATAATGAATCGATGAAATCAGCTCTCCAGGAAGAATATAAAAATGCAATAAAGAACAGGGTATTCTATTCGAAATTACAAAGTTGTTGCTACTTTTTGATAGAAGCGGCAACACTGCATTGCTGAAGATATTTCAAATGAAGAGAGCATATTCTGAAATATAGGCTTGCATATTTTCATGAATTTCTCTTGGTTATATAGAGATAGTGTAAGCTCGTCTTGCTATAACCTGTATATGGTGCCAACCAGGCGCCATATTGGTTCTTACCTAAGTTGAATTCATGTGTGAAAAATCCCATGAGCCGCTGTGATTTTGTCATTTTGATAGCGAAAAAAGTTTGTCCTAAGTTTTCCATCAGCGACAATTCAATTCATGTTTAAAAAATTCCAGAAGCGGCTGTGATTTTGTCATATATAATACTACAAGTGATAATATTTTGCCGGAAATATTCGGTGATTGTTACGACAGCTTGTTGCCTAGTAAATTTAAAGCAGCAAGCTGGAGTATGTCAATCGACGAATATTTCCAGGAAAAATAGTATCACGAGTTGTATTCGTATGACTATTTCATGATTGAATGAGACAATATATATAAGAAATAGGAAACATAATTTAAGTATATTCCAACTCGAACTGCGAAGAAGAACATAATGATAGTAATAAAATACAGAATTTACTTTTTTAGGAATTAACTACCTACTTATATAGATTCACAAAGTGGAATGTACAATTTTGATAAACAGTATTTTTTTATTATCTTGGAGATGGTTGCTCTCAAAAGAGTGTTCACAATTGCTATCCAATTCAAACAAAATAAATTGAATTTATATGTGATATGGAATAATTTTAAAAAAAGATATCGGTGCCGAGGGCTCGAACCATCGACCTTCATATCCTCGCGTAACAACCCTAACAGTTGCGCTACATCAGCTAATAATTATAACAGTCAGTCACAATAACTTGAGTAATTGAGGGAGACTACTTCAAAAAGGAATTTGAATTCTATTATTGTTGTGTCAGACCGTCAACAAATATGCAAACTTTTTAAATTACACATGAAATGTTTAACCAGAATAAAATTGTCTCGCCTATCGTACACAATATCTCACTATCGCGAATTATAAGTAAATAAAATAAAGTAGGAACTTAGGTTATTGTCTCAGATTTGAATCCAAAGCAATCTTGACCAGACACGATGTCAAAATTTTATCGCTGATAAACGAGGTTTGTTGGTCACGTGTGGGTCAATTCGGCTTCTGTATTGGTAGAGCAAGTCCGATAAAATTTAATAAACAAAAAATATCGCTAGAATACAGAAGAAACCGTGAAAATGGTCGATTCTGATTGGTTCTCGAGATCAAGAATGGAATAGTCATTATAATAGTGAGAACACTCTTCCCTGAGTTTTTTAGCGACAAAAAAAAACCTAACATTTGAAATCATGACAAACAAAATAGTGAACGAATCTTTCATGGCGTTGTCAGATAAGTATCTCTTCTGTGGAAATGTTACGATTATAAGAGTCTTCGAGTGAAGGATTGAACAAAAAAAAACTTCAACAATATTGTGATTTACATATACAAATAATTGTCTTGCCGAATAACACTCAAGTATTTTCTCGGGTGGAAGTTAACTTGAAATTTCTAGTAATACGAGTTCTGTTGCCTTCGGGAAATTTAACCAAAATATTGCCTTCGAGTCCGGAAGACTTCCAGACAACAGAATGTGGGGTTTATTCCGACAAAAAAGCTCTATAGTGTGTAAGTGGAAAAATTACCGGTGGTCTGGTTTTGTCAAAAACTGCCATAGAAATTTTGAAACCTGCGCCTTCGCCAAGTAATACATTCTCTTTTGGAACTCGAACATCTTCGAATGTGATTCCTCGTGTATCTGATGCTCTTTGACCCATCATGTTTTCCTAGAACAAACATAATTTTTTATCTCGATATTCATGGGTCGAAAAAATTTTGACTATTATGATCATGAGCCATAAAATGTTCCTCTTGTGAAATACTAATTGAATTGGGAAATCAGATACATGAAGTCATCTTATTGTACAGGGTGTCCCAGAATGACGTACATTAAATTCAACTGGGTGAACTAGAGTTCAAAATAGGCCGATTGGGACCAACTTACCTCTATACGAAAATGCACCGTTGGGCCGTGAGAGGGCGATGAATGGATTTTTTTTCAGATTTTATTGAATATTCCAAAATCATTGAGAGGTAATGATCAGAAATTTGGAAGGCGGTCAACTAAAAGAAGTGTGCATAGATAACAGGTCTCATCAGTGCAATCGATATACAGTGAGATACAAATTTAGCATTCTGATTGGAGAAAATCCATAGAACTTTTTTTGAGTACGCCACTGACCATATTTCAATATCTACTTGAATAACAAAACAATTATCTCTCTCTTTTCACACCATATTTCTTTCTAAATTTTGCTTGGTTCTCGAGATATCTGAAAAAATTCTTTCGGAGTCCCTCCATATCATCCATAGTCCAAGATATCAGAGTTATTGTGTTCTGCATCAGGTTCCTTCCTCCTTCATGTTGATATTTTGGTCACGTATTCATGTTAATTATTTAATAACCTCTTCATCATACAGGATGGCCCATTTTCAACTTGGGTGATAATAGCGTAGATACAAAAAAATGCTCAGATTGGTCGATTTCAGTTTGCACCTCCTGCTAACAATCAAAGTCGTTTGCAGGTTTTTTTCAGTTCTGTTGAGAGTTCGGGGACACAGATGTCATATCATATCAACTACTTTTCCTGCTCAATCATTGCCTAGTAAGAAACCCATCGAGCGGTTCGTACAAAAAATGTACGAGAACGAAAAATATCAATAGTCTAGTTTCATTATTTTCATCCCATATGTCACTGTCAGCATAATCATTGTAAATGATTGTTCAATTCTCAGTGCGTGAACTGTGAAAAAATATCAACTAATAATGGCTGATCAAGACCACCAACATTATTCTAACATCAATACAGTGGAAGAGCTAAGAGAAAGAATTTTTATATAGCAGCTGATAAGTTTCGCAATATTCCAGGAATATTTCAGAAAATACGATCCCACTGCGTGGGAGTTCGTTTATGTTTGGAGAATGATGGGAGACATTTCAAGCATTTGCTCGATTGATACCACCATTATCGTCGTTTTCTTTTTTTGTTTTCTCGACTGTTGCAATAGTTTATTCAATAAAAACATATTTTCTGTTTGATATTTGATGATTATTGATTATTAACTTCCCGAATATTCTTTCTACTTGTTTGATCTTCATGGAGGAGCAACTATTTTGGATACCTTCTGTATTGAATTTGTGTAGTGATTTCGATTCGAAGAAGGATGAATAGAAAATTATTATTATTCCTTTTATGATTTATTATTATTATCATAATTATTCTTTGTCTCTGAGATCCAGTTTATTTTTCAATTATTGATTTGATGAACTCATCTGATGAAGAGCTTGCTAGAATGAATATGATATCTGTGCCCCCGAACTCTCAACAGAACGAAGAAAACGTGCAAACGACTTCGAATGTTAGCAGGAGGTGCACACTAAAATCGACCGATCTGAGCATTTTTTCGTATCTACGCTATTATCACCCAAAATCTCCCTGTCAAGTTGAGAATGGGCCATCCTGTATGATGAAAAGGTTATTGAATAACTAACATGAATACGTGACCAAAATATCAACATGAAGGAGGAAGAAACCTGCAGAATACGATAACTCTGATATCTTGGACTATGGAGGATATGGAGGGACTCTGAAAATATTTTTTCAGATATCTCGTAAACCAAAAGATAGATAATCGATTTTGTCATTCGAGTGGATATTGAAATATGGTCAGTGGCGTACTCAAAAAAAGTTCTATGGATTTTCTCCAATCAGAATGCTGAATTTGTATCTTCTTGTATATCGATTGAACTGATGAGACCTGTTATTTATGCACACTTCTCATAGTTGACTGCCTTTCAAATTTCAGATCATTACCTCTACAGGATTTTGAAATATTCAATAAAATCTGAAAAAAAAAATGCCATTCATCTCCCTCTCACGGCCCAACGGTGCATTTTCGTATGGAGGTGAGTTGGTCCCAATCGACCTATTTTGAACTCTAGTTCACCCTGTTGAATTTGATGTACGTTGTTCTGGGACACCTTGTATAACAAATCAGGTCATTGGTATAGAATTACGCCATTTTCTTGCGAAAAATTCAGTACCTTCCTAGTTGGTTTCATTATTGTATCCAATTTTTTTGTTTGGGCGCATAATCCGAATCTGTAAGATATCCAACGAAATGTCCTGGTGCGTTTCGAGCTTTTGGAAAAAAATCTGCTAATTCCCTCGCACATTTTTGGTTTTGTGCTCATAATGTCTGGAAGGAGGAAAATAAGCATCCCCTCATTCAAAAATGACTGAATTCGCCACAATAGCTGCTGCGAACAGCTGTCGAAACATTATGGTCGATCACGAGATTATAAATACATAAGCAGTTTGCAGACACGTATACCTACGTGACATATAAGATATATCGCGTCTGAATTATTGAAACGTCGTGTCACGTGTCACATACGCATATAAATATTCATGTATGTGTCTATGGTATATATTGAAGTCGATCATAAGAATATAATACATGCTCGGTTTGCAGACATGGATACGTTACTGATTGGATATATGACATGTATCTTCTTCCTTGTTTCTTCAACGTCCCATTTTTCTGCTACCGAGGCTATAATCAACGTCGCCGGTGAGCAGACTATTCACAACCGAGAATTTTGCCTAATACTCTGATGTTCCAACCAGAGGTAGGAATTTTCATACATGGCCTCGAGACCGTCGGCTTAACGTCCCCTCACAAGGACGGCATATCCCTACATTATACTTCGCTGAAGTCTTTTCCAATACTTCTATAGAACACCCTGTGTGTAGTAACTCCGATGTGCCTACTCGTACGTACTACTTTTTGCCACACGTTTTTATCTAATGACTCAACTTTTTTACCTCGCTACCGCTCGGCCGCTCCGCGTCAGCTTCAGAACACTCCTTTGTGTCGAACAACGTACATTAAAAATATTTGTGTTGTGTATTTAAAAGTGTTGTGTAAGTACCTAGTGGTTAAGACTTTTGGAAGTGAACTATGCCAAAAATTAAGGGAAAGAAACGCTCTCATGGAGAATTGAGTCGGGAAGAAATCTCAAAGCAAATCGATCAGTTGAAACGGCAAATTTCCAGATTGCGATCTTCATCTTCATCGTCCGATTCATCGAATCGCTCGGAAAGCCCGGGTAAGTGGATCACAAAATTTAGCAATAACATTTCATCGTGAATGCGGGTGTGGTATAAGTTTTAACCACATGTAAACTGCTTTCATTGATGGTGGTATAAGTTTTAACCACATGTAAACTGCTTTCATTGACGGTGGTATAAGTTTCAACCAGATGTAAACTGTTTTCATAGACGGTGGTATAAGTTTCAACCACAAGTCAATCAATGAGGCACAAACAGCGATGCATAATAATCATTTTGAATGCAGGTGGTATAAGTTTCAACCACAAGTAATATGAATTGTAGACATACTAAAAAATTCAACCTGAATGCGTGTGGTTGTAGTGTTGTATAAGTTTGAACAACATGGGAACCGCATTCAAGGGTGGAGGCATAAGTTTGAGCCACAAGTGCACATGAAAAATGACAGATTTTTATTGGTTTCAGTCGATCATCACGCAAGACGTAAAAGAATTCGAAGAATATCTTCTGACGATGACTCCTCTGAAGATAGAAGTGGCCAAAACGATGGCTTAAGGGGACTAATAACTAACAATACGATAATAAATCCCCCGGAAGCGGATCCGGAAATGATTAAACTGCTGGGTGAAGATCCATCTACTTCCTCGAATCTTGTATCTGATACAATTCATGAGTCCATCGCAAAGCGTTGGAACCATTACATAATAAATGGAGATGTCGCCGAGAAACGGGAGGAACTCGAGAAAAAATACCTGATCCCTGGAAATTGTTTGTTCAAACCACCAGAAATGAACCCAGAAATAGCCAGGTTCCTTTCTGACATCGATCAAAGAAGGGACAAACATTTACAAAAAATCCAAGCCAGGATTGCGACTGCGCTAAGCGCACAGGCGAAGATGGCCGACAATTACCTCAAAAACATCAATTGTTCTCAAGGCGAAAAACTATCTGTGGTAATGGAAACTGGCAGGATATTGGCAGATTCTATCAATATGATATCTGCCCACAGAAAATTCCATATTTACCCCCAGGTCAATCAAAATGTCAAGGAAATCATTCGTAGAAGCAAACCAGATACATTCCTCTGCGGAGGAAGTCTAGTGGAAGAGCTGAGAGCGACTCAGAATGCTGAAAAATCTGCGATCGAAATCAAGGCGGGGAAAAAACAACCAATCAAGAAGAAATTCACGAAAGAAAAATTCCAGATGTCCAAACCCTCATCGTCTTTTTCCGGGCGTTTAAACTTCCAACGCCCCCCCCAATTTCCAAAGAGCTATCAAGGAAGGAAACTAACGTTCAAAGGAGAAGGGAGGGGGCGGAACTACGGGACTTATCAAGACAATCGCCGGACCTACAGGAAATAAATGAGGTAGAATACTATTGTGGTAGACTTAAATATTTTCATAAAAACTGGTCTCTTATAACAACAAACAGCACTATTCTTAGTTGGGTAGAAGGTTACCAAATAAAATTCCGAACAAACCCTCCTAGGAACCAAAAACCTTCAGAGTTCAAAAGTAAGAGCCATACTCACTTGATGGAGTCTGCTGTCAAGAATCTGATCACTAAGGGGGCAATAATTGAATGCAATCCCTCTGAAGGTCAATTCTTATCACCATACTTCCTACGCAAAAAACCAAACGGAGGGTACA